CAATCAACCAATGATCGACAGACCATCTACCGGGTGAATAAGTTGACCTCCTATCGAGTCACCATCGAGTTGCCATCGATCAATCCGCCAGGGGTGTGAAACTTTAAGAGTTATGATTAATCAGCACCATAAGATGTTCAAAAAACTGGTTAATGCCAGAATCATTCCGAAACTCCACTTCTGGACATATGATCCTACTACAATGAACAAATTTGGTCCTCTACGAAAAATTGGAATAATCAGGGGACAAGCTAAGCATAAGAAGTTCAAAGAGCCCGCGAATTGCACTCGATCGAGGCTTAATATTGCATTCAGTGTAGCCGAGACACATCAGCACCGACAATCGTGCCAATTTTTCTTCAATGAGAAGATGACAAATTTCCTCGTGATTGTTTCAATGATTTGTTGTGGTCCAGATGAGTTGGGTGATTATTCGAGTTATGTATATTTGTTACACGAGAATTCACAAGCTTTAAGTATTTTGAGTTGGATTAAGTGGAATGGAGTTGTCTTTAAGCCTGATATGATGGTATGTTCGAGATTGAATGATGAAAATCCCGTTGCAAAAGTAAAAAGAATTTTTCAGCTTCACAACACAGTCTGTCATAGTTAAGTTATGTACAAGCTCCTTCTGAAACCACTTCCAGGCCTGTGAAGTTCTTAAATGTAATAAGTGAATGTGTATCGATGAGAAAAGTACGAGAGATTACTTTACATGTACTCTTCTTACCCCGGCTGATGATAAGAAAGTGACTCTTAGAGAATAACAGACTCCATGAGGCTGGATAATAGTGTATTCCCTACCTAAGGAAGGAAAATAAAGGAGTCGTACCCACATGTAGAAAAAACCACCTGAGCCGAAGGCGAGGGTGGTAAGCACGTGGGTAGGGACGCTTTATTTAACCTCCCGTGGTTAGAACGTTATTTTCTGCCACGGCGTAGGCACAAAGTCAGATTTTTGTCCCAAGAATAAACCATTAAAATCAATTAAAAAAATGAGCAAATAAGATAGAACTTGCCATTTTTCGATTTAAAGAAATTATTTTCAATTGCAAGCAGTGGCATCATCAGAACGGAATCCTATTCTGTACAAACAATATCTACATCATGTAAGCAATGCTCAGACTTTTGGCTCAACTAGTTATGAATTGATGGAGCAACGAAATCGATATTGATTCAACTGAATGTTCGTTCATTTAACATGATTCCGGACTATAACGCAAAATGTTAACCCTTGAGAAGAAGTTTTGCTAACTTTAGATTGGTCCTTATATATTGTAACATGGTAAAAATCATGTACTATTCCTCGCCTGAACTGACCTCGGATCATGGGGGGGAAATTAGTATTTTTACCCCAGCGAGTAGTCAGATCGCCCAGGGCTACAATTGTCATTTTCTTTATTTCTTTTATTTACTCTTTCTTTTATTATTCTCTCAAATTTTGTCGATCGCGCTCACCGTGCGTTACGCGTGAGCTTCGTGACGAGGGGAGCGGAGCGGAACATCGGAAATGGCTGCAAGTCAGCGCTACAGGAGATGACGAGTAGCACACCGACGAGCACACACACACCGAGTCTGGGAGACTCACACCACGAAGGACGCGAGAGACGATCGACGCACGCCAGCAGGCATCTCAGGTCTCTACGTGCAAGACCCCCACCACCTCACCGATGGATCGGTGGCGCATGGCCGCCCAGTAAAAAACTCATGATACAACATTGAGGGAGCATCGGATTATGTTGGCTTCTGCGTCGTTCAACGCGGATCACATTCACCGACCGCGCGCCGCATGTTTCAGTTCTCTGGGACTCAGGAATTGGGAATTATGACAATTTTAAAATTCCCAATTCAAAATCATATAATAACGCGGATTCTCCGCGCTTCATCGGCTGATCGGGGGGGTGGAAAAGAAATTGGGGTTCCTCGGGGCGATGTATTACCCCGAGGGGACACTCTTCGTTGGGTTTCAGCCATAATAAGTCGCTCTGCGCATTCAAAGTCCTGTTACGCTCTTTGAGCTTCTTTTGTTGGTTTTGACCATAAATTTGTTTTGTGGTGTTGTGCTTGGAGTATCCGGCTAACAGCTGACGTCGCTGCCGTGAAAAGGGCTCCAGATGAACTTCCCTGGGAATTTCTCGCGTGATTTACGGTGAGCGTCATTAATCATTTGTGAGTGCACGCGGAATTCTCCTCGTAACTTCACTACGGCGTCCATTTTGGGCCCGTTTGAGCATTGATTCGATTTTGGGTGTGACGCGGCACTTAGTAGTTTTCAGCTACCTATTTAGTTGTTGTTATTAATTGCGGTAAATTGTTTACGTTTCACATTTACAATTATCATATTTTTGTGTGGGGGGGGGATACTTGTGGCATTGAATTCATGGTATTAAAATTCCTCAATAATTTCCTCGTCGTGGCTCTCGCGTTCTCGTCGCGTGTGGGTGATCCTCGCGCTGTAGCGTATTCCACGCACACTCGATTTTTTTTTGTCATTATGACAATTAATTTCAATTTCTACTTTCTTATAGGATTCACTTAGAATCCAGTTCTGATTTAGTATCTGTTCCATTTAATTTTTGCAAATTAATCTTTCTTTTCTTTTTGAATTTATTTTGATTTGTGTCGAGCCTTTGCTCGCGGGAGTCCTCTCCCGTACTTGTAAAAAATTTTGTGTTTAGAATCTGGCCAAAATACAGTCAAATTGGTCATTCATCCCCCTCGGTAATTATCGAACGTTATCGTCAATCATCGGACACGGACGGAGCGGTCGTACGTGTCGCAATCGTCAGTACACCATCGAACCTCATCTCGGGCAGTTACCGTGACAGTTATCGGGACAATTATCGGGACATCATCGTGACATCATCTAAATGTTTTGTGTTATTACAGTCCACTCGGGAAAACTATCTATTTATTTGTTATTGTCAACTAACGTTTCAAGTGCAATAATTTCTGATAATTAAACGGTAAATCATCCGAAATCACCTCTTTTATTATTTGTGCACCCACCTCAAATTCACCTTTCCTCCCGACCACCCAACCCATCAAATTTCGAGTACATTTTGAACATTGGTCCTTCGAGCTGGATAGGGAGTGAATTAGTGCGGAAAGTGCAGTGAGTGGATGCAATGGACTCTGGAAAAAACATCAGTGCAATACGTGGGGAACCACGCCGTAGAAGCCTCTCGCTACGGGGTTCACACGTCAACGCGCAAGGACAGCATAGTGAGAACATCATCAACGATACGCAGCATCACGTCAGGTGATAACTCATCGGCACTCATCATTGCCCGTCGGTAACTCAACGACAATCATCGGCCCAGCGGTCGGTAACCCATCGACAATCATCATCGTCAGTCGGTAACCCATCGGCCGGTTATCACCGCAACATCGGAAATTCATCGGCAATTATCACAATTTATAAATAATTATCCTCTGATTTAATTCAATAAATCACTATGAGTGAAATCGGAGAGAAGAAGGACGAAACCTTGGCTGAACAGGTGGAGAAGGCCGAAATGAACGACAATGGAAAACCGACTGACGACAAGGATCCAGGAACTTCGGAAAAAGTCGAACCACCCAAGAAAATCATCAGTCCAGTGTTACTAAGGTTTAAGTTGAAGGTGAAAACTCAATACAGCAGGTTGAGGGGTCTTCAGGACATCATCGGGTCCATCATCACGCCAAGACACAGCATCACTACTTCGACCATCTCTTGGGTCACTCATCGAGACGAAGAGGTCAACGACAATCAGCTGGAAGATCATCGACAATCAGAGGAACACCATCTTGGAGATGATCGACAATCAGGAAAATACCACATCGGACATTCTCGCCATATGGATACATGGCACGCTGGAGATCAACGACAATCAGAGAAATACCAGGACAATAATCAAGGGCATCAAGTACAATTAGAGCCACACCAGGCTAACATGATGAACTCCAGCAACGTACTGGAGACACAGGGAACTCAGCAGACAGCAACTCATCTGGTAGTCTTGGCGACGGCAAGGGTCAACGCACTCAATCATCATGGACAATTAACGCCAGCTAGGATCCTCATCGATCAGGGCTCTGAACTATCACTAGTTTCAGAGCGCTTGGTAAATCAACTACACTTGGAAAGAAGGTCATCATCACTGGTCATCATCGGCATCGGAGAAACATCATCAGGGAGCACACGTGGTGTCGTGAAACTCGCCTTACAACCGAGACACAATCCCGCTGTGCGAATCATCGTAGAGGCCTACATCCTGAGCACGCTGACGGCGAAAATACCGCCATTTGCTTACGAATCAAAGATTCCTCTTCAACTACGGGAACTTCACTTGGCAGATCCTCACTTCTTAAAACCTGGAGCAATTGACATAATCATCGGAGCTGATACTTATGGAAGAATCATCGGGGAGAAAATCATCAGGTTTAAAGAAACGAAACTCATCGCTCAGCAAACTACATTTGGCTAGGTTGTATCGGGACCAGTTTGCTGCATGAACAGCTCAGAAAAATCATCTTTAAAAGTAACGACGCAAACGGCTAATCAACAATTACTAGAACTCCTGAAGAAATTTTGGGTCCAGGAGGAATTACCGAATACAATATCACCATCAGTTTTAAGCAAAGCTAAAGCAGAATGCGAGCAGCATTTCATCGAAACTCATCAGAGAGATTCAACAGGGCGTTATATAGCGCGGTTTCCATTCAAATCATCACCAGCCGCACTGGGGGATACAGCATCGTCGGCTAGGATCAGGCTAGAGAAAA